GGAAGCCCGAGGCAGAGTTGCTCTGCCCCGGGCTTCCTGGAATCAGCTGCTGATCAGTTTCAGCAGCAGCTGACTTGGGGACGCCTGGGGTTCTTAAGTTGAATCTGTATGTAAATCAGAACTGGTGTCCAGATTCAGCCGCTGTTGAAACTGATCAGTTTCAGCAGCGGCTGAATCTGGATGCCAGTTCCGACTTACATACAGATTCAACTTAAGAACAAACCTACAGTCCCTATCTTGTACGTAACCCGGGGACTGCCTGTAGCTCATAAACTAAGCGTGACAGGCAAGAAAGAAATTGACAGGTGTTCACTACTGTATTTGTAATGTGGTTCAGTATGTATGCACTGTAAAATGAGTGCAGCGCATGTGTGGATAATTAGTAGTAACTAACTATTTGGAATGTCATGTGTGGTGATGAACATTCCTACTATAGAAGGCAGAATAAATCCCTATATTTTCTATTTTTTAACTGAAGAATCAGTATAATGTTAGCTGGGGACTCCCAGATTGAAGAGCCTAAAATGATTGTTGCAGTTATCTGGAAATTGTGGGATCTTTTTTAGAACTGAATTTAAATTTAAACAGTTTGGATTCAATGTTTTCTGCTGCACTGAAAATTGTAAAAATTAAATGAGAGGCTTTGGGTTGATAATCTTGATGGTTAAATTCATCTACTAGAACTGCAGGCTGTGCAAACTTAACCTATTTGCCATGCTGCTTTAACTATGATCTGAAGGCGATCATTTCTAGGGCTGACATGGCACTTTAGTCTCCATGCTGCTGTCAGTTGACATGAGTAGCGGTGGATTTTGTGATGAGTAGTCAACCTTCAACCCTTTTCTATCCACCCCCTCAAAAAAAAAAGAGAGAGATGGAATGAGACCACCAAAGTGTTTTGGTCCACTGATTAACCTTCATTCTTCAGTGACTTTCTTTCTACTGCACTGGATTTGACTTAACAGTGAAGAGTTATGTATCTTAGTTCCTCTTCCTTATACAGGTTGAGCCTCTCTAGTCTGGCACCCGTTTAACCTGACTAGTGCCAAACCAGAGAATTTGCCAAACCACAGGAGGACAGTATTGTCTAGCAGCATTACCAACACTTCCACTGCTTACTGGGCTCTTAGAAGACTTTTAGAAATAAACTAGAGTGAAATAGCAGCACAGAACACTGAGAGCCACAGGACTGGTGGCTGTAAACAAGTTTTATGAGACCATGGAAAACCTGGCCACATCCAGGATAAGTGGACATCCAGATAACTTAAAATCATGCTGGACCACAGATGTTGCTGGACCAGAGAGTGCTGGAATAGAGAGGTTCAACATTTACTGATATGTTTATCAGCAAACCTGTAGTGATTCTAGGCGAAGTTCTCCTAAAAATTTCCTCCTGTCTTTTCAATGTATATTGAGTAAGACTGCTCAGTTGGGTCATTTTGCATGTATACTGAAAAAGTATTAGCATCTTAGAATTAATAACTTTCAGGTTTTGGCAGTTTTATCATTGCCATTACTTGCCAGAGGTACTTTGTTGGTCTTATATTTATTTTTCTTTGAAGTTCTAAAGATGTGTCATTCCCTCAATAGTTTGGGGGGTTTTGTTTTACCTAAATTAAGTCCAGAAGGGAGAAAATTCAAAAAACAAAATCTCTACCAGAAACCCAGGTGCACCTCAAGGGAAAAAACAAACAAAACTAAGGTTACAAGCTGTGCAGGATAGTGCACTTGCACAGATTTACCGTATATTACGTTTGAAATGCATGTTTCAATGTTTTGTTTTTTAAATATCTTTCCTGCTGCCACAATCTCTTATTAAAAGATCACCCTCTGTCCAGTTGTCCTCACTGTACCTGGAAGGAAAAACAGCTTTTAAAATAAACAGTTTTGTGACCTAAAGGCTTGAAATTTTTCTTAACTAAATAAAACAATTATTTGTCTCTCTAAATACAAGTGTTGGCAAATAATGCCAAACTGACATTCCTTGAGACTTAGTCTTTTATTTACAGAGTAGCTGTAATACATACAATAATAGTGCATACTTCAAGTCTAGCTTTCATTGTACCTCAACCTTATTCTGAAATAATTGCTTTTTTTGGAGATAGTGTAGTTTAGCAATATGCCTATTCAAACATTGGCCTTGCTGCTGAAACTATAAATGAAGTTGTCAGTTGTGCCATCTGGTTACTTTTTAATGGACCAAGACACCAAATTATTTCACATAGGTCCACTAAGCAGTGATTAAGAACAGCCATACTGTTTCATACCAAAGGTCCATCTAGCCCAGTATCCTGTCTGCCGATAGTGGCCAATACCAGATGCCCCAGAGGGAGGGAACACTATAGGTAATCCTCATATGATCCATTGTCCAGTGGTAACAATTTTTGGATAGTACAGGTTGACTCTCTCTAGTCTGGCACTGTCTGGTCCAGCAACATCCGTGATCTGGTGCGATTTTAGTTAGCTGGGCGTCCACTTATCATGGGTGTGGCCAAGTTTCCCACAGTCCCATAAGGTTTGTTTACAGCCACCAGTTATGGCTCTCAGTATTTTGTGCTGTTGTTTAGCTCTAATATACCCCTAAATGTCTTCTTAAAAGCTCAGTAAGCAGTGGAAATGTTGGTAATGCCTCTAGACCAGGGGTGGACAATACTTTTTCCCCGGGGGCTACTTTTTGAAGTAGTCCCAGGTCACCCCATAAGGGGAGGGGCCTAAATGGGAAAGGGCGAGGCTACCCCATCCCCAGACCATGATTGATCTGGGGGTGGAGGAGCCCCTTTGCCCCCCCTTTTCCCATAGGCACCCATGCCCTGGAAGAGGCTTGGTACGTTCCCCCACCACCAGGCCAATCAGAGCCTGGGGGCGGGGAAGCGCGGGAAGCCTCCTCTGGCCCTGCAAGGAGCACATGGCACTTTGAAGTGCCACGGGCACCTCGCAGGGCTGGAGCAGGGCAAAGGAAGCCTCCTGCAGCTCC